GTGCAAAAATGACTTTCGAAAACGATGGAACAGGAAGTTTCCACGAGCGAACGTCAGCTATTTAATCGACAATACCAATAATTCAAGCCGCTGCCGACAACACGTGCTTACGAGAATCAGATTCGCGTTCATCATCAGATATCCGAAATAACAATCTCGGGCACGTACATACATGTCCCTGTCTCCCGTTGTGTATATACGACAATCCGTGTAAGTGGCAAATTACCAAACTCAATAGTCGCGCCTGACTCCCCGTTCAATAATTAAGTCGGCTGGTGTTACGTAACGTACCTACGGTGTATAATCGTATCTACGATTGAGAGCCGTTCGTGTGTAATTCGATATGATTATTCATTGGGACAGGTGAATGCGACGGTAATTCCACGGTGATTAAAATAATCGGCACCGGTGACCATACAGCAGCATCGCATTTCTGTTAGCCACCTGATAATAAACGCTTTCATGTGTCGGCACACGTGGAAAATCTCCGATGATTTTCAACAGAAATTCGCCTTAATCAAAGGGAAATCATCAAACGCGACTTGTCTTATCGAAATTCTTCTTACAGGTATAAGGGATGAATTTTGAATTCTTTTCGAAGAAAGGGTGTAAACCTACAAAATATTTGAAGAAACAAAGTTATTGCCAATTTGGCATAGCACTCAGAGCGCTAATATAGCCAATCGAATTCCGTGAAAATTATTTTCCCCGCTGTTTGCAACCCCTCGCGAGTCCAGGAATACCGTTGGTACACGAGGAGAAAATAAATTGTCTCCTTGGCGAGACAACAGCCGTTCCTCCACCCTCGAGGATCGACGGTCCCAGCCCTCCCGATCAGGATCCCGTTCATCAAGCATGATCAGCCCTCGCCAGAAACGAAGTGGAAGGTAAGCCGTACGAAAGGTGGGGAGAGGGTGGTTAGCGAAAGAGTTAGAGAAAACGCGTTTCTCCTGTCGTAATTCGATAAACGAGTGCGTCGATGGTCGTCGTCGTCGTTGTCGGAGGGGTTGGAAAAGGTAGAGTCAGTTCAGGCTGGCAGGCAATTGGCATCGATACTTTCGATAGGTCGACGCGTGCATCGAGTCAGATCCGGTTCGTTTCCCCGAGTACTCTACGATGCTACGCTTCGACGGAGGACACACACGTAAGGGAGAAAGAGAAGGGGGTGATACCATCGACGGAGGGACAAAGATGGATAAATACGTAGAAAGGGGTGGTCGAGAAACTGGAGAAGGGGTAGAAAGAGAGGACGGTCGCGGGAGACGCAGGAACCAAGCGGGGGAAGGTTAGCTACTGTAATTAGTGAGAACGTATCGTAATTAGAGAAAATGCCACGTTTAATTGCTAATTGAGTTTCTGGCTGATGCGAGATCTAATTTTAATCACCTAATTACGTGACTACAGGCTGCGGGCTACGGACAGCCACCACCCTCTGCCTCCTGTGAGCGTGCATGGCTACCGTGCCGCTCTGTGACCGTATAAGTACTCGAATTGTAACGGGTGATACGCTGTCGGCGATGCTTAAACACCGGAACATTTCGTGGAACAGGGCCGGAAGTCGCGTCTCTTACACTCGTTCCATCAAATCCCATGGAACTCTATACGATTGTTTCGACAGGACTTCCGAACGAATTTAGAAATTCAATTTATTGTAATTCAAATAAAATTTTAAATACCTCAATATTTACTTAAATAAGAAGAGGGTATAAAATTTTCTACTTAGGTAATTCATAAATTTCATTTTCAATTTGAATCTTCAATTTCACAGATTATAATTCAAATGAAATATGCAAATTTCGCATCGTTTATCATGATGGACGGTGGGGAACATTGCAGGATTGCAGTTACGTATCAGCTCACCGTTTTCTGCATCGGGTCACACGGTATACGAGCCTCGTAACTTCTAGACCGCCTTCCCTCGTACGTGTACGTAGGTTTGAAGCGAATACAGGGAGAAATGTGGTTAGAAATTACATGGCTGTCGCTTATATACAGAGCTCAGAGAGCGAGCAGTGGAACACGGGCTCTTATTAACGCGTGTATTAGCTATGCCGACTCACCCCTTCTAATCTATATCCAAGCCCGGTGCCGCGCGATTATTGGTTTCACACGAGGACAGCTATCTACATTATGCCTACAGAGTGACGCTAATTTTGGAAATGTGCATGTTTCTAATCTGTGGATCCGGGCACCGGTTGATAAATAGCTTGCCACGCTGCACGCGTAATAAGCGAGCCATAGAACGATCGATCGTTTCAATCGATCCTCTACTAATCGCTTTGCTCCCCCTCATTTTCGACTATTAACCATTTTACCAATAGATCTAATTCCAGCCTTTTATACAAATGAAAATGTTAACTAAAAAGGGTTAATAAATGTTCATTTTAAAAGAAGATCGTTTAAATGATATTTTTAGCGCTATAAACTTTCTGAATATTCAAACTGTAACGGAAACGTATTAATTATTTTTTAGTCTGGAGGTTTAATTAATTAGATGATACTGATTAAATTGAAGTAATATCTGTAATCAATAATATATTGACATCGCTAGTAGATTGAGCGATATAAATAGGTCACGCTTATAATATTCTAGTCTTAGAATTTGTTAGATCAATTACTAACTGGATTAGATAACGATATCAGATTTAATAAATTAGAGATGTATCAGTTAATTACATAAATATATGTATATTGAATCAATAAGGAAACGATACCGTGCAAAGATAAACGATCGATCCCGACGTCGATGATCGAGTCGGTATCATCGTCCCTAGAAAAAGTAATTAATTGAATTTCGCCGCATTGTCATCCGTGAAAAACACCGAAATTTTAGTTTACCTTAAAAGCTTCCACTTTCCCTCAAACGTTCCCGGTAACGACATTGAAAAATTACGTTAGAGACGATAGAAGGGAGCGCAGGACACCGCTCGTTCGCAGCTATTACTCCCTGCTTTTCGTTTCATTTACAATAAAAATAACATCATTATCGGAGTGGCTTTCAAAAACGACCCTAAAACTCGGCAAGATTTAATATCGCTTAATTAAATTCCGCCGGTCGAATCGCGTTAATGAAAAGGTTGCGGCGAACAGACGTAAAACTTTCAGATAATTGATTCCACCGTGAATCATGTGAAAAAAAAAGAAAAAAGAAAAACGAAAATGGATCAGAATCGTCTGCAAAACCGATAACGGAGGATACAGGCGGCACGCACGCTTAAATGACAAGATTATACGCTCATGATACAATTAACTCGCATCAAAGGAGGCTGGTGAAGCAGGGAATCGTATGAAGTGCGGTCGGGATAGCCTTAGACGATTACTAATTTAAGCTGAACCCATGCTTCTCGGCTCGTTCCGTCAAAGTCGCTTTTTAATGCCGGTCAAGCCGTCAGGAGTCGACGGCTCACAAAGCAGAGACAAGTGAGCCTGCCGGAAACAAGGGCCGGTAATTAAAAATGTCAAAGTAACGGCAGTCTAAGAACCCCGGACCCCGTGTAGCTGGAGTGGCCATTCGGCAACCCTCCCGCGGTATTCTCGCAAGACAGACAAAGAGACGAAACGGCAATTTCGAAGATCGATATTAGTCTACGCGAGGGTCAAGTTCCCACGCCGCGATGATCATAAATTCAACACCGGAGAAACTAACTTTCGATAACACTAATAACAGAGGTAAAGAAAAAGAAGTCGTCTCGCGAGCATAAGAAATCAGAATAGAACTTTCAGTCGGATCGAATAATTTTCTTCCACTGTTCACGAATTCACCCCCCGAAGGTGCGAGACACAGGATAATCGCCTGCGAGATATGTTTGCAGAAAAAAAGCAGACAAAAATATGTAGTTTCCTTAACCCTTGGACCTACATTACTTTACGTCTATAACTCTTTCTTTCTTTCTTTCTTCCTCACCCCACCAACCCCTAACAGTCTCTCTCTCTCTCTCTCTCTCACAGCCGTTCACTCGAAGTGAATGTAAAAACAAAAAAGTGGAACGCCTTATTGTGCACCGGTGAGACTGCGACTCAAAGGCTTAGAGCTTTGTACGTAGCTATGCCTATGTGCAGGAACAGCAGTAAGGGGGCGCAAAAGGGGGCGACGGTAACTACCCCGTGTATGGGCCGGCGTGTACGTGCACCCTCGTCAAAGAAGTGGGGGAGAAAAATACACCTAGCTACCTCGTTCATTTTTATCCCCTAAAGCAATTTCAGCATTGTTTTAAAATAGTACTTAGCAGGGTCATTGTATTATGCATGCGCCCTCGGTCTAGTGGACTGAGCCAGTGTGTGAGAACACTTGATTCCTCGCGCACGTGAGCCTCGCCCCATTGTTAACTCAGGAGGAGCAGCCGCTGGAGGAGATGGAGGAAGGGGGTGGTAGAAAAGGAACGGGACGAGGAAGCACGACAGAGACAGGGTAATGCAGAAGGGATTTTCTCGGCCAAGATTTTTTAACATTACCCTTACCTCGGCCGTGAAACGCATCGTTCGATTTCAGACTATAGGAAACCATCCAAGCCACCCCCTTTGTTTTATAAACTGTTCGTTCTATTTTTATGGGGTGTAAATTAAATTGGAAATAAAAATTGTATGGATGAATGGACGTTTGAGTTGTTAAGGGTTCAAGTTTCATTTAAATGAAAGAGTTTTAATAATTTAGATGGATGAAATTGCAAATTAGATTGTCTTGAGAAAATAAAATGTAATTGCTGAGGATCGAAGCTCAGATTCTAAAATATTTGTAATTACGAAAGGAACTGTATGGATAGCAGGGATAACGATTACGTTCCTGATTTCGAGACATACCTTCTGGCAGTGCCACAACCGTGTTCGGTTAAGTATGAAGTCGAGTGCGATTACTATTGTTTCATGCCTGGCAGTCGAGCGTCTCGACTGCCTACCGGGTAAAGCAATATTGCATTCGAAAGAGAGCGTACACTCGCCAAGTATGACGCCCGCGGTAAGGTTTTAAGGGCTCTTCCGTAAGATAAAGGCTTGCATATACTTACTGAGTACATATTCTCGTCCAGATTCTTCTGCATCCGGCCGCTGAAATTTTGTCCGACTTCTAATAAGATTGCCCGACATCCGATCCACCAATTCGATCTGAAAAAATCAAACAGATCAAAAATATATTATGACATTTCACTTGTTACCCTTCCATTTTATTATAAGATAACACCTTACGTGGTAAAATTATGGAACCATTTGAAAAAAATGAATAAAAATATTTTTCTTCATGCAAGAAAATGTGTATTATTTATAATGATAAAGTTTGCCGGATGTTTGACCATTTTATGGAAACAGGCTTGTACTTGAGAATTTCTGAAACATCAAGGAGAAAAGCATCCGGAAAATAGTTCTTCGTGACTAAGCTACAAGACGTAAGACGCATCAAGGAGACAGTGACAATTTCAGAGCTACGACATTAAGTACATGGCCGTGGGCCGTGTGGCCAAAGGCGTTGGAACGGCCCTCTCGTGTTCATTGTTCATAGTCAGCGTCCTCCTACCCCTTGGCTCGCTTGTCGACCACCGCACACAACGATGGATCCCTCGCCAACCAACCAGCCGTACTTCTCGCTCTCATCTCATCTTGTGCCAGCCTAGTGACTTCACGAGGGTCTCATTTTCATTAAGAATTAAAGTTGAAGTCCGCGGGTAGAGAGAGAGAGGGAGAGATGGAAAAAAAAGAAGAAGGAAAGTTTCCCATTCGCCTTTCTCATGCAAATGAGATCGCGCTATCTCGCGCCTTGAAACTATCTCGATCCTGGCTAACGCAGAACCGCGCGGAGATCCGGCAACGACCGCGAGATAAAAAGACAAAAAGTAAAGAAAAGAAAGAAAGAAGTTTTATCTCGGAATAGCCGGCAGCGAGACTTGAATCATTAGCGAATCACCGTCACCGAGAACTCGTCTAATTTTGAGGATTAACCGTGGAAATGAATTAGGTCGTAAGACAAAGCGAGAAGTATCGAGGGCTATCGAATTTTAAGTTATTTCGAAACCACAATTTGCATGTTTAAAGTAATTTATTAAAAATCCTCTCGTTTCGTATATCTTCCATTTGAAGATATTTCTGATCGCAATCAATAATAACAAATTGACTGTACCCATTAATGCTTCAACAATAATTTTAATTGAATATCTGTTTACCACCCTATTGTATAGATAATACGTGTTTATAACGTGAATATTTACAATAAAAGCAGTATCAACTAAAATCAGCCCCCATGTTTAATTCGCAAACAAACATGCGACTCTGCCTGGAAAATTCACGGGACATGATTTCGTCAATAGTCTTGTGACAAATTTAAATCGTATCCTAAATTTTTCTATTTTTACAATTATTTTCTGGATGAATGAAAGAAATTTTTCTGCCTCGCGTAACAGAGCCAGCCGCAGCTGATTGCGGGCACAACGGATTAAAAAGGAATTAATTCGGAACGTATTACCGACTACGGTGACCTGTCAAATTACATTGGCCCGTACAGAAACCCTTCAACAATATGTTTCGTCGATATTGTATTAGTAACTCAGGGTGCATCCGATCGACCGCGCTTTTCCCAGGGGAGAAATATCGCGGATTATTATTTAGTCAGTTTATCGCGCAAATTAGTCATGCGAATAGGGATTCATTAGAGCAGTCGCTTAATTATCGCAGCTAGCAACGATACCGAAGTGAGAAACGCACGATGCTACACGTACACGTTCTAGGCGAATTTGATTTCTGCCCGATTGTTTCCTTGCCGTTTGAGTATCGATATCGCGTTCCATCTCGAGTGTGTTAATTAATTTTCACGGTTAATTCCGTAGCGCGAATGGCGCGTCATCGTCTCGCCGGTTTTCAAGTTCCGTCGAATAATGAAATCTTCGTAACTCTGTTTCTCTCGTCCGCAGAATTTAAAAACCCCGGAATTTCAGAATATTCGAATTTTAGAATTTTCGTACCTTAGAATCCTAGAATTTTAGAATTCTAAAATTGCGGCGAGGCCGATTGATAAAATTTCTTAGGAAGAGCAAATGTCGGAAATTTCTAACGGAACAAAACTACCCCAAGAATCTGCCCCATCTCCGAAACAAACGTCGAGCGGCATCGAAATTTCACCGAATGACGCGACACTTCACCGGCGGTATTTTTCGGTCCGCGAATTCCGGCCCGGCAAAACGGCCTCATTCATCCGCTCCATTAACCTTGAGTACGAGCATATTTTTCGACGAATTCGAAAAACGCGCAACTCGCGTTGTCCGCTCGGTTCGAAATGAGAGACAGACAGACGTACATACACACACGACGCTTCCTGGCCATCGATGCGGCGCATTTTGTTAATTGAAATCGTTTCATCGATCACGAACCAACGGACAGTCCCTTAAATGGGTGAACGCAAGGGGTTTGGGGGGGTGGGTTTTGTAACTGGGTGAGCTGGACGATCGACGAAGAGGGAGCTAAACCGAGGGAAGGGGTAGGTTTAAGCTCGTGACAAATGCTCCGGCGTCACGAATCGTTTTCCTAGGCGTCGTATAAATTAATAATTACTCCGCGTCGCCATTACTGGGATTAATGCCGTCGATATTATGCCGGTTGTTTCAACGATAACTCATCGGCCACGTTGATACACCCTGATCAGAAAAAATCGCAAGAGCACTGCTCGAATAAATTTTGTCCCATCGAACGGAACCTGTTTCAATTTTATTTCCGATTCGATATTGATTTTGATAATTGATTTTTCTTCCAGAATTTCCAAGGATCGCTCGAATTTTCATCAGAGAATATAGAATCCCGTTGTTCGACGGTGTTATCGTTCGCTATTTAATATTCGTCCAACGCGAGGTGTCAATAAAATAACGATCTCCCATCATGGTGTCACGAGAGATGAGATAAATATGGGTATTTGAGCGCGGCAGATAATGCAAACAAACCCACGGTGAGTTATGCTTCCCGCTCTATATACGGTTTGCCCGCAATTGCGATACGCTCCGCGTTAAATTTGCTTTGAATTACCGCCGATAGTGCGACGCGACCTGGATTATTATTAGTCCGTGATTCCCGTACGGTCCATTACCGTGACCTTGCACCCCCGACGTTTCGATCCTTTCCGCGATAAACAGCCGCGAATGCGAAGGAAAATAACGAACCACCTGCCTCTCTCTTTTAACCACCGAAATTCTCCGAAATTTACCCCTCGGTAATCGGGCAAACATTTGATGATTTTCGTACCGTGCTCGTTGCTTCGTATGATTGATATATATTTCGTTATTTTCCGATTATTTGACTTTTATGGGAAAGAAATTTCAAATTTATTTTCTAAAAAATTTACCATCACGGTTAAAAATCCAAAGGAAACGAAAAAATTTCTTTGCCTATCCCTGCTCTAAATTACACCGATCAAAATGAATCATCTCACCTTGACTCCGATGTAGCTGGCTAAGTCGTTGATGCGACAAACGTATCCGAGCAACGGAACGACGTCTTAAGAGGTGGGGATAAAGATAATCTTACGATCCACGATGTCAAGTGATTACAGCTATTTTCTGCCACTTGTACTTATTAGGGGTGATACGCCGGTTCAGCCGGCCATTATGAGTGCCATCTGAATCTCGGCCTCTTGAATGCCTCCATTTACCATTAAGCACATTACTATTATCCTATCACGCGTTCGCCCGGCCAAAGGGACTTCTTTGGTTTGCCCGTGATGCACGAAGCCATTTGTGCAAAGTGGCCGTTCATTACTAAATTATGCCGGTTTTATAACATTACATTAAACCCTGGCCTCGCTCGGCCCGGTTTGACCGACCTTCGAAAAAGCTTCCACTGGCAGGGATGATGCTCTTCGTGTTCTTCCTTTATAATATCCACACCATAGTAAGCGTCATTTTTATTCACGTATAGACATATCAGCGTCATTTACAGAAAATCGGTAAAAAGAGAAAATAACGATATCAAAGATTACTTCTTATTTCCCGAAGAATTATGAACCACTATTTCCCTTCGAAAGTGCCCGCCCACCCAAGGAAGAAAAAAATAAGGAAATCGACTGGCGATTTGCAAACTAATAACAGCAACACTGTTACAGACAGTCGTGGCAGTAATGCTCGTATAATTAATGATAATAACGCGGCCAGGGCGAGGGCTGGCCCGCTTTTTGTCCGAGCATGGCTCGTAATGAACCAGCAAAGATGTCAGAACCAGTTCTGTATCTCTCCGTTCGGTCGCAACACTTTCGAACGTAACGACGTGCCCGTTGCGATACTGATGCGACCGTTTACCCGCAGTTTAGCCCCGTAATGAATACTATTACCGTCCGTTTCTTCTGCCGGCGAATATTTTATATGAATGTAGATTACTCTTGAAACGAGCACCGGGATGCATAACAAAAAAACTGCCCCGTCTGGATCTTTTCTTCTTCTCGCCTTTCTAAATGCGACCATATTCGATTAACTATCTTTTATTGCCCTTCCAACGGGAACTGCTCCATTTTATCGCTTGTCATTGGTGTTCCTAAACGCGATCAACACCTCTTCTTTTGATATAAGAAATGTGTAATCATGGATAATTCCTGCTACTAGATAATTTTTATATTATAAACGGCTTTTAATAATATTTCCGAAATTCGTTCGCCCTTTCCGGAACTCATAGACGATTCTCTGTGTGACATTTTTTTTCTCTCCTATCATCGCTCGAGTCCACCCGATAATCCCAAAGTATTGCGCTCTTTTTGAAGGCGATTTGTGAAATATAAATAAACGGCAGCATCGCGTCGAAATGACTTTTGCCCGGGTGATGCAGTCGGGTCCGGGCATTTTTTATACGGATTTTTAGCCCGCGAACGCTGTCTTCTTTGTACGGTCGCGAGTGTTATGTGTTTAGCCGGGAGACGAGCGAAAAGGGGGGTGGAGTTGATATGGAAATGAAATGTCAAAAAGAGTAATAACGAACGTTATCGATATGATACCTGGGATAGATAGTTTTTCGTTCTTTGGAGATGGAATCGGCTAGTAGCGTTTCGCTCGATACTCTCTTTTTTTCTAATTTTTCTTCTTTTTTTTCCTCCTATCCTGTTCCTTTTTTTTTTTTATTTCGCATTGCTTTTGC